TTAATTTTAATCTATACTATGCATAATATCTCATAAAACCTCTATAGTTTCATAAGTTTTCATATAACTACAGTATAATTAATTATATTTTAACTTAATATAGCCTACATATCTGCATATAAGGATAAATTTTGAGCTTAATTTATATATTTAAATTTATGACAAGAAATATTATATGAATCAAGAGAATTAATGCTTTACTCATAAATAAATGAAAAATTATGTATATTTGAAACTAAATCATCAAATTTTTAAACTAATTTAACAGTTAACTATATTGATTTTTTTTATGATGTAAAGATTCTTGTATTGTTTTAAAGAAAAGTTAATATTTATATATGCAAAGGAATTTTTAAGTTCTAAATCACAATAATAATTCGAAATTAAGCAACAATCAGTGGACCTTCAAACAGAAGCCATTGTTACAAGTTAAACTTCGACATTCTTCATAATTTCCTATGAGAGGTAGACACATGACGGATTTATCTATTCTTTTGTTAGGAAAAAAAATAAGCAAAAAGGAAAATTGATAGCTGCTATACGAAGTATTATAAATAGTCTATTGTTAGTTCGATACTAATCTAATTCTGTCTTAATGGACCTAAATACTTCGAAGTTTAATTATTTTTATTGTTTATTCTGAAGATATATTTGTATTAAATGTATGTTTTACGCTTTTAATTTTTGTAAATTGAAGTTTAACACGATTTGTGTTTTGATGCCAGAAACCTACTTAAAATAGTTTGGGGCATATTTAATGTTTACATATTTATAGTAACTAAAATGAATTTCTACAGTAAATTAGGCTATATACAGTTACATTATATAATACATTATCCCTCTTTATGTTTAAAGTTCTATAATTATTTCAAGTCTGTAATTTTGTGCATTTCACTGTAAAATCAATCGGGTTATGTAACTTATTATCCGCTGATCGATATTAAGGTTTTTATTTCATTTTCTCGTAAAAAAAAGTGGTTAAAAATTCGATTCGGTTGATTATATGGAGACATTTTCACGAACTGTAGCACAAGTAGTAATAATTTTCCGTATGTAAATGCCGTAAATGTTGCTTAGTATTGTGTTAGTATAATTATTTGCAAGGCGTCATAAATAGTAAATATTATAGATCCGAGTCGTTTTATATAAGGTCATTAGACCCTTAACGCTAGGCCTATCTTTATATGAGATCTAAAGACACGTGTGAGGTTAACGCTCCAATCGATTAGAAATTATTAATAGACAAATAAAACAATAGATTAATTATGCAATCAACAGAAGAAAAAAAAGAAAGAAAACAGGCGCAATACACGACTAAGTCTTTATTTGCTATAAGACGTAGCGAAAAAGAGATTAGTATAAAAGGCCTGAACAAACTTTCTATTAGAAGAAAGAACCGCATCTGTTCTATTTACGAGACCATTACACCTAATTAGCTGCAACAATAGAAAGTAGACAAGCTAATCATTAAGCATTTTGAGAGTAGGAAGCGAGCAACCATAACCAAAACAATGCTCGGCCCTCTATTAATTGTTGCAGATCGCATGTAATTAAAGAAGGTGCTGCCCCCTGTCCACGGGAGTGATGTGCGTGTTCCATCTGTCCAGTTCGATAATTGTTTCCTTTGCGTCCAACTCACGCACAGGAAACGTCCTGTTCCTGAGCAGCTGTATTCCGTGTCCTGTCACTCTGCTTATGGCGATGGGGTTAGCTGATCTTAATACGAAGTTCGCGTTTCTGTAACGTGTTGTGACGTCTATATGATACTTTTGCTTCTCTGCAACTAACGCGTAAACAGTAATGCTTCCTAAAACTCTATAAGGAGGACGATCTTAAGTAGTTGTAACGTGGCATTACAATTAGATTATTTTCTTCGTCGTATTTCGATTGTTTTCAGGGAATTCGAAGGAGTTAAAACATACTTTTAGGGCTTAATTTTTAACATATTTTCCCATGCAATTACTTACAAATAATGTTGATTTACAGAATAAGATATTAAGAGTCATAAAATAATTTCTTATATATTTATAAATCTTTTTTTTAGCTTTAAAAACTTATTACAGGTGAGGTTGTATCTGGCTTTTTTTCTTTCTTTTTTTTCTTAATTTAATTGGAAATCGGCCAATCCAAGTTGCCAAAAGAGATTTTAAACATGGATACTATTCCCTACATTGCATGACATGTAGTTTAATTATTAAATTTAAACTAGTGTCCATTTAAGTACACAATTAATTATTTATACACGGTTAATTACACACAATTAATTGCTTGGAACTTTGATTTAATCAGACCGCAAGCCGTAATAATAATAATAATATAAGTTATTCATTTTAGTCATTTAGAATATAGTTTAAACTATTCATAAGTCGAAGATAAGTTTACTTTTGTTAGGAAATAATGAAATGTTAACAAATTGCTAATCGATCTTGACCTATTGCAATGCCTGTCTGTTGAAAGAACAAGCTTCTCTTTACTTTCAATCTTCCCCTATATGATGCATTAGTGATCCTTAATCCATAAACTCATCAGCACACAATTTAGGGGGCAATAAATATCCTCTGGAGATTAGTTCCTCTCTTATTACATAGAAATTAATCCCGCCAATATAATTTCTCCAGTTTTCTAGCAATATTTGTTTCTTAATAAGTTTAATTAACCTGATTTTAAGTTATGCAATTCGACTATTGTAAGTCTCGAGTGCATGAGATCTTGAGAGAAGTTTACTCTTTTGTTTAATAATACTTTATTATGTTTTCTTGACATGCGGTAAATTTAACGTAAGATACTTAACGTGCATAATTTTCCATACATTTTCTCTCACTTCGGCCCTTATAAGGTATTATTTATTAACACTATGGCCTCAATTATAAGATAATTTAAAAACTTTAAATGATACCATGTAAAAAATTATAGTTAAAATTAGAATAAGCGCCGAACTTCCACTTAAGATCAATGTAAAGAGCTGGATTTATAGAATTTAGATGAAATATCTGGCCATAATGGCTACTAGCATGCATTTTGAGGATTAATGTAGTAAATTTGGATAATTTGTCAGCTTATACATAAGTCTATACTCGTGTAAGCATTATATTTTACGAGATTCACCCATTGTTTGCTGTAATATAATCCTAAATAGTCGTTAAATTTCACGAAATTCTTGCTGTAATTAAATCGCGGCCTAAGTTTGAAAAGGGGGGAAAGAATACATAAACTTTCTTAATTGTTTAAGAAATTGCAGATTATTTAGTACCCTCTATAAATCAAATAAAGTATCAGTTAGGGTGGACAGAAAAAGAAGGCGAAGATAAAAAATGGTCGATCCCCTCTCTCCATAATTCAAAGCAAGATTTATAATATTAAAACTGCGTATAAACACAGTAGCATTCCAGTCTTAAAGGGGAGGAGGAACATCACAGTATTTACAAAACACTATACGGATATCTTAAGAATTAATGGAATTACCCATCATTTTATAATAATGCTCTACAGGTGGGAGTGTGTTGTAAAGGTGTCGAGAGTAACGGAATCACGTGTCACGATATTGCACGCAACGTCACGTGATTCGATCACACAAGTGTCTTATCGAACCTAATCTGGCTTTTTTTTTTTTTTTTTCAAAATGCAGACCGATTTCAATTTCTTATTTTTATTTTTTTTTTTAATATTTGATACCCGGGAGTTAGTATTGAATTCACGCGTCGATCTATCCGGATCCCTCCTTTTACCTTCTGCAACCAATAGAATTGATCGTAACGCTATCACGTGATGGCCGGCGGCATTCACGAGTTGGTTAGCCTTTCTATAAGGGTGCCGATTCTGTATAGATAATCCGTAATTGAATTTACTTCCTGTGGTGTTACGTGATTGGAAATTATTTTTAACTTTCACAATGAAACGTCATGGCTTAATTTTAAAGGAGCGCCACGTTCGTGATTGAGGCTCAATAAGAATTATTATTATTTTTTTTTTNTAAATTAATTTTTCTTCCGTTACGTCACGGTTACTTTACTTAAATAATATAATGTTATTCCTATATATATATATATACAACACTTGTATACGCGTTTTGCTACGTTTCGTGATGGGAACGTTTCGTAAATCGCGGCTCCTTTTACTATTCGTGTTTCGGAGGCGGGAGAACTGTAACCACACCATAGCAATTTCTTCCCATAAGTTAGTTGCTTGGGGAATATTTAACGCAAAAACTAGATTTAGTACAAATGTAGGCTTATCTAAATCTCGATTTTATGCGTTTAGATATGTTACAAGTTACTACGGGTTATGCAAATTAGTATAATGTAAAGTCACTTGAGCATTAAAAAAAGAACAATCCTGGTAATGGGAATTGAGTATTGTGATAGAATTCTTATAATTTTAATGGCTTATATGGCCATGTAACACATCTATCAAATGGCCTTAATCATGGAGGTAGTTCGCTGTATTTTGTGTTATCAGCATGCTGTGGGTTGTAAGTCACGATGTTGAATCCCTATTTAATCTACTTGTTATTAGAGGAATTTTAACCATACGTCACACTTTCATTTTAAATTGTAACGAACGTATTGTGTGATCGTGTGATTTTCAAGCGGAATTGACGTTGACTTCGGCTAATTAAAGTAAATATTTACAGTTGATTAGGCTAAGATTTGATAAAAAAGTAAGAAAAATACTATAAGAAATTTTTTTAGATATGAAAATTGTTTTAAAAGTCAAAATAATCCCTGTACAATTTTTCTTAACATATTCGAATGGATAACGATGGTAACCACACCCTGCTAACGATGCTTAAAGTAAAGAATTCAAAACGTAATTTGTATGAATAATTCAAAGAAAACGAATCGCATTTTAATAACAAATTTCATTTCGAAATATGATTTTCTCGTATTATATAACATTAAATTCTCTAGAAAGGTTAACAAGTGCACCCATTTTAGTTAGAATTTTAAGCACCAGATGGCATTAAGCGAAAAAAAATTTTAAATAAAATAAAATAAACTTACCTGATGAAAACCTAAATACGTTTCCACCGTATGAGATGCATAAAATACTTCACCATCGCACGTTAGTATTAAAAGAAAACCGTTCAGAGCCTAAAAGATTTTTTAAAAAAAATAATAATAATCTTAAGAAAAACAACACATTTAAAAATAATCGTTTCTTTTACAGACACCAGATGACAGCACTATAAAAAAATATATATATTTCAAAGTTAAGATTTTTGAATAATATACTTATGACGTCACAATCATTATCATAATGTAATCGATATAGGCGGATCGATTTAGTTCGTTAACGGTTTTATTTCGGGAGTTAGCAGAAAATAATAATAATAATAATACTATAGCAGAAAGAGAAATATGGGGGATCCATTAGCGATTTTCGTTTGACCACCCAGACTCGACTCCAGTCATGATTTATGACGGCGTCCATGGCCTAGGTCTGGTTACCATGGTGATGACCAAATAACCATTCTTTCCCCTCGTTCATACTAACGGATTTCGATCGGCGACTGAAGCAATTATGATGACTGATATGTAAATATTTTTTATGTCGGTGTATTTATGTCTGGATGATTTAACATACTTTAAAGAATAAAACGCGTTTCTTCTTTTTTATTCTTTCGGATATAAAACACAATGATAAATATATCTCTTATAAATTTCTAAATCAGAAAACAAACAAGCACTAAAAGCGAAATTACAATTTTAATGTGGAATTCCTCGTAGAAAATGAGAGAAATCTTAAGAATTTTCATGGACATAAAAGAAAAGAATAAAAAAATCCATTATCGCTTCTCTATGTCGCATGATCTATTAATAATTACATAATGCGATTTGATAAAAACACAATTTAAACAAGATAGAATTCATCTTGGAGAAGATTGCAATGTGTTAATTAATTAATAAAATTGTAATCTTCTTCAAAACGAATTCCTCCTCTTATTATCGGGTTTTGCGTTGACTCGCAACGTGTATTTTTATTTTTATTTATTTATTTTTCTCTAGTTTAAAAGCCGCTTAACAAACATTCTATCTATACAAAAGCAAAAAAAAAAAAGAAAAAAAAGAAACAGTAATAAGACGGGGTCAGGGAACAGTTTGTTCCTCAGTAGGGGATCCCATTATCCGCAGCGGGAGATGGTAGCTTTGATAGTACCCGATCCCCGATGGTAAAAGCAGCTTCCTCTCCATAATTTACCTACTGTTCGCTTATCAGTACATGGCCACCACGTTACTAAACAAAGGTAAACGAGGATTAAGCACTGTTATTACCTATCTATAAGAAATTGATACATATCCTTCATTTCAAGCGTTAAAATATAAAAAATCTAACAAAATCTCCTGGCTTATTAATCATACTATTGATATAAACTTGCATAAATCAATTTAAAAAAAAACACCCTGAAAAATAAATTGTAGAAAATAAAGACCAAAGAGAGAGAGAGAAAGAATTATTTCGTTTTAGAAAAATCAATATTTTTTAATTAATTTTTTTTATTATATTTAAATGAATATTGTAAATTAATTTATTCGCAAATTTTTAATTTTTTTTTCTTCCTCCTGTATTTAATAATATAATGAAATATCAGTCAGTTATATAATAATATAGTGAAATCAATATCAGAATATCAATTATGATAAGAATATATAATCATTACAGGCCGTAATAATATAGATAATGAGATAGAAAATATCCTTAATAATAGTAAATTAAAAACAGTGTATTATGATACAGTCAAAACCTCTAATAATGATCACTTCCCAATAACTGCCATTTTTTCGGGAACGTTTCTTTTTGAAACGCTTACAAACAAACCTCCAAACAACGGCCTTTTTTCAAAAGCATTTCTTTATGAATGCTTACAAAATAACCTCCAAACAACGGCCCTTTTTCAGAAGCATTCCTTTTTTAATGCTTACAAAATAACCTCCAAACAACGGCCCTTTTTCAGAAGCATTTCTTTTTTAATGCTTACAAAATAACCTCCAAACAACGGCCCTTTTTCAGAAGCATTTCTTTTTTAATGCTTACAAAATAACCTCCAAACAACGGCCTTTTTTCAGAAGCATTCCTTTTTTAGGGCTTACAAAATAACCTCCAAACAACGGCCTTTTTTCAGAAGCATTCCTTTTTTAGGGCTTACAAAATAACCTCCAAACGACGGCCTTTTTTCAGAAGTATTTCTTTATGAATGCTTACAAAATAATCTCCAAACAACGACCACCTCTGAACAACGGCCATATTTTATGCTCTCGTCAGTGGCCATCATTCGAAAGTTTAACGGTATTATTAGCAAAGTATCCAATATAAATTATATTTGTTTTATCTGTTGAATTTATGAAGTGTTTAAGAAAAATTTGACAGAAATTCTAAAAAAAAAATCACTTCTAGATTTTTTGAAATTAAAGATAACAAATCACAACCGATTTTAACGTATGGGCCTATTCGATTGGTTGAGATTACTACACATTTTGACGTCAATTTGACGTAACCATTTCAATCTTACAATAAAAAACGCCGAAGAATGACGTCAAATTTACGTAAAAATAAACACTATTCCAATCAATCGAACAGAAGTGATGTGTAATAAGATTTCGAGCATTAAAACAAGATTGTAAACATACATTTCTGCGGAAGAATAGATTAACACATCGCAAAACACAGCGGTTTAAATAATAAAAGTAAACGAAAACTTGCCTAATACAAATTGCGAAATTATATTACCAGACATATTCTATCATGGCTTCCACCAAGAAATATACTCAATTAATGACTTCACAGAGAGCTAATGAAGAATGTACATGTAAATTTCGTAATGGATCTACCGTCCAAAATTGCATTCAATCTTGCTAAGGCTTTAACTTTAATTAACTTAGAGTGCTATCAATTTAATGTTTCTAAATGTCCTTGTTTGTTTATCCGCTCTGATTTTATTGTATTTACCCGAGATAACGTACTCTAATACAAGAATGAATGAAACGAAAGATAATTTTAAATTACGTGACGTCACAACAGATTTGTTTTAATTAGTTTTTAATTTTGAATAAATAACATTAAATTAATGTGTAATAAATTATATTTTATTAAATAATTTCAATTAATTTGAATTAATAAATATAAATAAAGCAAAATTTTTATTTGAAAATCATTTTGTATAAATAAGATTTTTGAATTGTCGTTTGGTATTTAGTATTTTTTTTAAATCGATATTTTATAACAGGTTAAAATTAAAATTGAATAATTTTTATTTTATAGTTAAATGTATATTAATTAATATTTTAAATTCATAAAAAAATAATCTCGATAAACGACATTATTTGCTTACTGATTGGTTATTAATTTCATCTATTTTAAAATATATCTACATAAAAAGATACATTGCTTTTATTAAATAATTAAACAAATTGTTAATTAATATGTATTTAATTTATCATATAAGAATAAAATTTTCAAATTTAGAAAAATTATTTTCGACAAATGATAACGACGAACGACGCCCTCGTCTGCTTATAAGTTATTAATTTCATACAAACATTTTAAAATAGATCCAAATAAAAAGTTGAATCGTTTTTATTAAATGATTAAAGAAAGTTTTAATTAATATAGACTGTATTAAATTTATTATTAAAATAAAATTTTAAATTTAGAAAAAATATCCATGACAAATGAGACATTGAACGATGTAGTTTGCTTATTAATTACTAATTTCTAACAAGCGTTTAAAATCAGATCTAAATTTTAAAAAGAAATGTTTTTATTACACGATTAAAAAATAATGGTGAATTAATATATGTTTAATTTATTATATAAAATTAAAAATTTCAATTTCAAGAAAAATATCCTCGACAAACGAGACGTTGAACGATGTCGTCGTCTGCTTGTTAATTATCTCTTGCAAATATTTTAAAATGAATTTTAAAAAATAATTTCGTTTTAATGCATACTTAAACTAAATTAGAATTAATATATGTTTTTTATATCATAATTTATAAAAGAATTTCATTTCAGAAAAAAAAAATGTTAACGATAATACGACATTGAATGATGTAATTTACTTTTTATGACTAATTTCAGCTTGTGAATTTATTTTATTTTATTAATATTAATTGACAAACATTAATTCAAATTAATCGATAATTTTCAATAAAATCGTGATTAATTTAAAGTTAATAAGTGTAGGCCTATTCAAATTTCTCAACTTATACGAAGCCAAACGGACCTAATTATTACTTTTATATCTATCCGTCAAATTATCCACAAAATATTAATTTGCGTAAATTACAAAATATTTTTCGCAGTATTAATATTTAAAAAGCGGGGGGAAAAATCACACGCATTCAAAATCTCAGATATTAAATGACGTCACAGCAGCGCATGATCTGCATCTTAATTTGAATTTTATCAATTATAATTTGAAGAAAATATAATATATTAATATTAATATCCTTCTTGGTTTTCATTTAAAAATAATAAAACAAATAAATTAATTATATTAGAAATATATTAATTACGTTTTATTATTTAAAGAAATTCAAAACAAATACTAAACACGAAAGTAATTCTGTTTTAATTAATTGTATATTAGTCTAAATATTAATATTACCTGCAAGATAAGATCTCCTTCCATCAAACATTCTGGATAAAGAAGTTCACGTGGTTTGTGACTATGATCGACTATTTGTTCTTTATCTCTTCTGATTGCCGCTGTGAAGACGAAAATGCAAAGAATTTCGTTATTACAGAAAAGGTAATTCATAAAATTACATTTAAATGACGTTAAAAGTTAATTTTTAACTGTGTCACGTGCTTAATCTTTCATGGTACTGTACGTGAGTAGACCACGTGGTCAAGGTAAGCATCCATATTCGCTAGGCCTAAGCATGCATTATATAAAGATAAGATACATTTATAATTTAGTATATACTCTTTTGAAAACACCTCATATTATATTTATTATTTGCATAACAAATGTTAAACTAGTATAAACGCAATGTACAATAAAGTACACATCTTCAGAAATTCATAGCAAGATTTATGTGTGTGATGCCTATCTAAATACTGTACTTATCATTGACACACTTAAAGCACACATGTACTGTACAGTACCATTAAAACCAAGCCATAGTTTCATAAATTATCTTGAAACAATTATAACTGTTATTGAAGATTTTGTTTATTACTAGACTTAACTTAAAATGCAATACAATAAGATATACACTAAAATAAATCAATTGGAGTGAAAGAAAACTGTCTTCTAAGTGTTAAGATATGAAATAAGGGCAATATAATTTTAATAAACAATTGTAATTACAAGTACATAATTATCTTAAGGGAGAAACAGAAAAATCCTATAGACTTTTATATATAGCTAGGGCATCTAGGCACCAAAAATCATGCAAGTTAGGATTTTTATAACTATTTTTATGATGTTTAGTGTCTGTAGTTACTTTCGAGCATTTAACCTTACATTCAGTAAGATTAAATACTAGAAAGTGGAAGCTAAAATGTTTAATTTTAATCTATACTATGCATAATATCTCATAAAACCTCTATAGTTTCATAAGTTTTCATATAACTACAGTATAATTAATTATATTTTAACTTAATATAGCCTACATATCTGCATATAAGGATAAATTTTGAGCTTAATTTATATATTTAAATTTATGACAAGAAATATTATATGAATCAAGAGAATTAATGCTTTACTCATAAATAAATGAAAAATTATGTATATTTGAAACTAAATCATCAAATTTTTAAACTAATTTAACAGTTAACTATATTGATTTTTTTATGATGTAAAGATTCTTGTATTGTTTTAAAGAAAAGTTAATATTTATATATGCAAAGGAATTTTTAAGTTCTAAATCACAATAATAATTCGAAATTAAGCAACAATCAGTGGACCTTCAAACAGAAGCCATTGTTACAAGTTAAACTTCGACATTCTTCATAATTTCCTATGAGAGGTAGACACATGACGGATTTATCTATTCTTTTGTTAGGAAAAAAAATAAGCAAAAAGGAAAATTGATAGCTGCTATACGAAGTATTATAAATAGTCTATTGTTAGTTCGATACTAATCTAATTCTGTCTTAATGGACCTAAATACTTCGAAGTTTAATTATTTTTATTGTTTATTCTGAAGATATATTTGTATTAAATGTATGTTTTACGCTTTTAATTTTTGTAAATTGAAGTTTAACACGATTTGTGTTTTGATGCCAGAAACCTACTTAAAATAGTTTGGGGCATATTTAATGTTTACATATTTATAGTAACTAAAATGAATTTCTACAGTAAATTAGGCTATATACAGTTACATTATATAATACATTATCCCTCTTTATGTTTAAAGTTCTATAATTATTTCAAGTCTGTAATTTTGTGCATTTCACTGTAAAATCAATCGGGTTATGTAACTTATTATCCGCTGATCGATATTAAGGTTTTTATTTCATTTTCTCGTAAAAAAAAGTGGTTAAAAATTCGATTCGGTTGATTATATGGAGACATTTTCACGAACTGTAGCACAAGTAGTAATAATTTTCCGTATGTAAATGCCGTAAATGTTGCTTAGTATTGTGTTAGTATAATTATTTGCAAGGCGTCATAAATAGTAAATATTATAGATCCGAGTCGTTTTATATAAGGTCATTAGACCCTTAACGCTAGGCCTATCTTTATATGAGATCTAAAGACACGTGTGAGGTTAACGCTCCAATCGATTAGAAATTATTAATAGACAAATAAAACAATAGATTAATTATGCAATCAACAGAAGAAAAAAAAGAAAGAAAACAGGCGCAATACACGACTAAGTCTTTATTTGCTATAAGACGTAGCGAAAAAGAGATTAGTATAAAAGGCCTGAACAAACTTTCTATTAGAAGAAAGAACCGCATCTGTTCTATTTACGAGACCATTACACCTAATTAGCTGCAACAATAGAAAGTAGACAAGCTAATCATTAAGCATTTTGAGAGTAGGAAGCGAGCAACCATAACCAAAACAATGCTCGGCCCTCTATTAATTGTTGCAGATCGCATGTAATTAAAGAAGGTGCTGCCCCCTGTCCACGGGAGTGATGTGCGTGTTCCATCTGTCCAGTTCGATAATTGTTTCCTTTGCGTCCAACTCACGCACAGGAAACGTCCTGTTCCTGAGCAGCTGTATTCCGTGTCCTGTCACTCTGCTTATGGCGATGGGGTTAGCTGATCTTAATACGAAGTTCGCGTTTCTGTAACGTGTTGTGACGTCTATATGATACTTTTGCTTCTCTGCAACTAACGCGTAAACAGTAATGCTTCCTAAAACTCTATAAGGAGGACGATCTTAAGTAGTTGTAACGTGGCATTACAATTAGATTATTTTCTTCGTCGTATTTCGATTGTTTTCAGGGAATTCGAAGGAGTTAAAACATACTTTTAGGGCTTAATTTTTAACATATTTTCCCATGCAATTACTTACAAATAATGTTGATTTACAGAATAAGATATTAAGAGTCATAAAATAATTTCTTATATATTTATAAATCTTTTTTTTAGCTTTAAAAACTTATTACAGGTGAGGTTGTATCTGGCTTTTTTTCTTTCTTTTTTTTCTTAATTTAATTGGAAATCGGCCAATCCAAGTTGCCAAAAGAGATTTTAAACATGGATACTATTCCCTACATTGCATGACATGTAGTTTAATTATTAAATTTAAACTAGTGTCCATTTAAGTACACAATTAATTATTTATACACGGTTAATTACACACAATTAATTGCTTGGAACTTTGATTTAATCAGACCGCAAGCCGTAATAATAATAATAATAATATAAGTTATTCATTTTAGTCATTTAGAATATAGTTTAAACTATTCATAAGTCGAAGATAAGTTTACTTTTGTTAGGAAATAATGAAATGTTAACAAATTGCTAATCGATCTTGACCTATTGCAATGCCTGTCTGTTGAAAGAACAAGCTTCTCTTTACTTTCAATCTTCCCCTATATGATGCATTAGTGATCCTTAATCCATAAACTCATCAGCACACAATTTAGGGGGCAATAAATATCCTCTGGAGATTAGTTCCTCTCTTATTACATAGAAATTAATCCCGCCAATATAATTTCTCCAGTTTTCTAGCAATATTTGTTTCTTAATAAGTTTAATTAACCTGATTTTAAGTTATGCAATTCGACTATTGTAAGTCTCGAGTGCATGAGATCTTGAGAGAAGTTTACTCTTTTGTTTAATAATACTTTATTATGTTTTCTTGACATGCGGTAAATTTAACGTAAGATACTTAACGTGCATAATTTTCCATACATTTTCTCTCACTTCGGCCCTTATAAGGTATTATTTATTAACACTATGGCCTCAATTATAAGATAATTTAAAAACTTTAAATGATACCATGTAAAAAATTATAGTTAAAATTAGAATAAGCGCCGAACTTCCACTTAAGATCAATGTAAAGAGCTGGATTTATAGAATTTAGATGAAATATCTGGCCATAATGGCTACTAGCATGCATTTTGAGGATTAATGTAGTAAATTTGGATAATTTGTCAGCTTATACATAAGTCTATACTCGTGTAAGCATTATATTTTACGAGATTCACCCATTGTTTGCTGTAATATAATCCTAAATAGTCGTTAAATTTCACGAAATTCTTGCTGTAATTAAATCGCGGCCTAAGTTTGAAAAGGGGGGAAAGAATACATAAACTTTCTTAATTGTTTAAGAAATTGCAGATTATTTAGTACCCTCTATAAATCAAATAAAGTATCAGTTAGGGTGGACAGAAAAAGAAGGCGAAGATAAAAAATGGTCGATCCCCTCTCTCCATAATTCAAAGCAAGATTTATAATATTAAAACTGCGTATAAACACAGTAGCATTCCAGTCTTAAAGGGGAGGAGGAACATCACAGTATTTACAAAACACTATACGGATATCTTAAGAATTAATGGAATTACCCATCATTTTATAATAATGCTCTACAGGTGGGAGTGTGTTGTAAAGGTGTCGAGAGTAACGGAATCACGTGTCACGATATTGCACGCAACGTCACGTGATTCGATCACACAAGTGTCTTATCGAACCTAATCTGGCTTTTTTTTTTTTTTTCAAAATGCAGACCGATTTCAATTTCTTATTTTTATTTTTTTTTTTAATATTTGATACCCGGGAGTTAGTATTGAATTCACGCGTCGATCTATCCGGATCCCTCCTTTTACCTTCTGCAACCAATAGAATTGATCGTAACGCTATCACGTGATGGCCGGCGGCATTCACGAGTTGGTTAGCCTTTCTATAAGGGTGCCGATTCTGTATAGATAATCCGTAATTGAATTTACTTCCTGTGGTGTTACGTGATTGGAAATTATTTTTAACTTTCACAATGAAACGTCATGGCTTAATTTTAAAGGAGCGCCACGTTCGTGATTGAGGCTCAATAAGAATTATTATTATTTTTTTTTTTAGCCATAAAAAATCCATTATTTATCCTAAAAAATTAAGTTGTTTTGTTGTGTCCGAAACGCTTATTCTTTGACGTAGCCTCTAAGATCGTTGTTTATTTACGCAAAATTTTTAAAAGGGTGGGATTAAAAAAAAATAGTTTATTAATTTTTACAATATATAATATATATTCTTTTAACCTGGCATGGCGTGTGTTGTATATACAGGGCCGTCGAGGGGAGCTGGAG